CCTGGCAGCGCAAGGCCCAAGCCAGGCGGGCGAGGAGACGCCCAGGCCTCCGGGCGCCACGGGTACACGCCGTGGCGGCCACACGCATGGGCAAGAAACGCTGACGGGATGATGGGTACGTGAGTTCTGTCCCTCCCTCGGCGGGTCAGGGAGGGGCGATGGGGAAGCGAAAGAGTTCAAGGGCCGGGAGGGGGGGGGCCGGGAAAGGAGAGAGGTCGCCTGGTTGCCCACGGGGCCGCGGCAGCAATAATGCCAACTGGCGATCGAAGGTGCCCCGACGCAGACGACAAAAACACTGGCGCACCAGCACGCGGCAAACCAAACAAGCGGTTCCGCCCGGATGAACTCGCCGACTGCGACAGGTTGCCCTGGCTCTCCTGTAAGTTACTCGGTTTTTCGCTATATACATTCAGACATGCTCAGATACCCTTGAACCGGGCTATGGGAAACAGAAGTCCGCACAAGTGGAGATTCCTCCTCATGATCCTCCTCATCCTTCTGCTCCTCTGCTCTTTATCCTCCCCCCCCTCCCTCCACCCCTCCAGCGGAGGAGAAGGAAAAGGGAGGGAGGGACAGGAGGAGAGCGACAGCAAGTCGAGGGAAGGGGAAAAGGAGAAAGAGGATGGTACGTTTCTGTACATCGGGCGCTTGGCCCGTCTTTGTACACAGGGCGTTTGGCCCATAGCCCGCTCGAGGTCGTCGGCCGACTCCTGGAAGATTACAATGCGTGGAATTGCCGAATTGCGGACGTACATTCGCACGTAGCCGAAAGACTCTTCACGAAGAGAAAGAGAGAGAGAGAGAGAGAGAGAGAAAGAGAGAGAGAGAAAGAGACACAAAAAGAGAAAAAACATATAAAACAACAAGAAAATAAATATAGCACAATTACTCTGACGGTAGGACCCCGCATGACAATCTGTCTAGCTTCTCCATTAGCCCTTTCCTCCTCTCCCTGGCGGGCGGACACTTTCCTCTCGCTCTCTGCTCTGCCCTCTCCTCCTCCCTCTATTTATCCTCCTCCTATTCCTCCTCCTCCTCCTCCTGCACCTCCTCGTCTCCTCATCATCGCCCTCCCCCGTGTTCCTTCCCTCCTCCTCATCCTCCGCCTGCGCCTTCTCCGCGCGCGCCTCCCTTCCCCCCTGGTCGGCGCGAGCAAATCGATGTTCCTCGGCGCCCTCGCCGCCTGGGCAGTCGCGCGAGCGTTTGCAGCGGGCTAGATCGCGAAGCCGCCGGGGCAACCCTTCGGGCCAGGCCGTTGGGACAACCCCGCGAGCCGCTGGGCCGCGAGAGCAAGCTGTTGGGGCAACCCCGCAGGCACCGTGCTAATCGCGCCCCCCTCAGCCCTGGAGTCCACTGCTCTCTTGTCGAATTCCTCCAACACCTTTCCCAGGGACGCCGGCGGCCCGCGCCCCCGGAAGTCTCGCGCGGGCGGCCGCAGAATCATCGTGTTCCGCATGCACGTGGCGCGGGAGAACATGACGCGGAGGTGCAGCCACCACTGCTCGTCCGACATGCCCGTGCGACCGGCGCCCTCATCCCTGGCACAATCGCATCGTCTGACCCTGCGACAGCGTGGGGGTCAGGTAGGACGCGCGCGCCAGGGCGGGCCCCGAGCGGCGCGCAACGTGCGGCCCCGAGCTCTGCCGCGTGAACTCCTGCTCGCTGGGCCAGAACATGAGCAAGCTCCCCGCCCGCGCCTCGGCCGCGCCGTCGTCGTCAGCGTCCTCGGCGCTCTGCAGCAGCACCTCGGCGACCTCCACGTAGATCGGGGACTCCTCGAAGCCGTGGACCTGCATCCAGATTCCCTGCGGTAGGTAGCGGGGGCGACAGAGCTGGCCCGGCGCGCGCTCCTCGTAGTCTCGCTCGTCGTCTGCGTGAAACTCGAAGGACACGACGGTGGCCCGTTGTTCCTGCGCGAGCCCCAACTTCTTCTTCAGCTCCACCTGCGCGGCCGCGAACCGAACCTCCATGCCGACGCGTGCCGGTAAGACGCCGTGAAGGTCCCCCGTCTTGTGCATGTTCGGGGCGTTCAGGAGGTGGCGGCCTGCGTCTGGGTCGCCCTGAATCGCGCCGCACTCGTCTACGGCCTGCAGGAAAACGAAGGGCGCGCCCAGACGCCGCGCGTCACGACGAGCACGCGGGTTGATCCACCTCGCGAGCGTCTCCCAGTAGATACCCACACCGAAGCCGAGCCGAAAGTTCTCGCGCTGGTGCCGAGGGCCCAGGACGCCGTGGTTCTCCGAGGCCAGCGTCTTCTCCCAGGCAGACCAGACCTCTGGCGGGAAGCGCCTGCCCTCGCGCATGCAGCCCAACTGCGCGATCAGAGGGCCCCCGGGCTCGAAGCGCTTCGTGCCCTTCAGCTCGAAGACGCAAGGGGTGCGAGCGAAGACGCTGATGGTGTGCTGAATCTCCACCGTCGGCGGCTCCGCGTACTTGTAGGGCCCGTCGCCCTGGCGCTCGTTCGCGTCCGTCAGGGGCCCGATGCTGTCAGTGGGCTTCAGCTGTAGGAGATCGCCATGGTACAACGCGATGGGGGCGCGCCCGAAATGGTGATGCGGCCTCTTGTAGGTGGACCCCTGCACGTCGCGCGTGTCACTGCGCCCGTGGCAGGCGCGAAAATCCAGCGCGTTGTACAGAGCAGCCGCCACCATGCTCACCTCCTCGATGACCAGAACGCGGACGTGCTCCCACAACCACTTCAGCCTCTTCTGCATGCCCCCCGGCCTCATCTCCGCGTCGATGTACTTCTGGACTCGCTGGGCACAGGCGTCGTTCAGCGTTCTTGCCTTCACAGTCTCCGCGGAGATGTTCTTCGCCTGCGCGTCCGAGAAGGCCGCGACCGTCATGGCGCCCTTGTCCTGCGCCGACGAGGGCCACAAATACTCCACCACTGGGGAAACGACCTTCTGCATCGCAAGCGTCTTCCCCAGGCCTCCCTGGCCCAGCAGGAGCAAGTGCGTCACTTTTCTCTCGCTCCAGGGCTTCTTCTGCGCGTCGTCCTCCCAGGCGTCGTCGCAGGCCTTCGCGAACTTGGCGACGAAGAGCGTCTGGCCCCGCGCGAGTCTCTCGTTCTCCGGCGACCCAGCGACCAGGGCGGCCATGTATGCGCTGGGCGTTGAGCACACGCTGCGGGCAAAACTGGCCGCCGCGGGGTCGCCGCCCAGGCCGCCAGCGCCCTCCTCCTCGCCGTCGGCAGCGCCCGCGTCATCCTCGTCGCGATTGCCCTGGAGGCGGTCGTCATGCAGGTTTGCCCAGGCGCGTCTCTCCTCGCGCGCTGCGGTCGCCAGCAGTCGGTATCCGGCCGCGGACGCAGGAGCGGTCGCGGCCTCAGTCGGCTCGGGCGCGCCCGCGCCCTCGCGGGCCGCCTCGGACATGCGCGGGGGCGCGAGGAGCTCCTTGGCCAACCTCGTGAGGCGCTTGCGGTGCGCGAAGTTCAGCACGTCCGCCATGTCCTGCCCCCCGTCGATGCCCCAGGTCGGAACCGGCTGGAAGTGCGCTCGGACCGCCGAGGGGGGCGCGCCCGGGTGTTCCACGCCCTCGCCCGCCTGGGCGCCCTCGTCCTGACCGGCGCCTCCACCCGTGGTCGCCCTGAGGTGCGCGCTCTGCACGGCTGCGTCGCTCTGGTGCTGCCGGGGTTTCTTCTCCTCGCGTGCCAAAGCGATTCCCTCGAGGTTTGGCGCCACCTGCATGGCCATCATGGAGACGTGCTGGTGCACCGTCGCCATGGGTTTCTCTCTGCCGGGGCAGTGGGCGGGGCCCAGCGAGTCGCCCTCCCCGTCCTCGCCCTCCGCCCGCGCCTGGTGCAGCGCGAAGAATTCCTCCTGCACCTCCTGCGTCTCCCAGATCGAGGGCCACTCGTGCCGCGCGTGGAAACGGGCCGCGGCGGCGCGGGCCCCCTCGTCTGCCTGAGCCTCGCAGTGCGCCCAGGCTCGCGCGAAACAGGTTGACCCGCGCGCATTCGCGTCGAGGGGCGCGCCGGGGGCCTCCATCATGGGCGCGAACGCCTGCGGCATGCGCTCGTCCTCCGGCGTCTCCACTTCCCCACCTCCGACGGCCTCAGGAGCAACTGCTTGAACAGACAGGCGGTCTCGCTGTCCTTGTTCATCGTCGGCGTGGCAAGGCCCTCGAAGAGGGGCGCGCGGAGCTCGGGGGCCAAGCGCTGTTCGTGGGTTGCGTGCACGGCGTAGTGCTGCGCAAAATCGAAGTCCAGGTGCCGCGCGCGGGCCTTGTCTCTCCGCGGGCCGTCGGGCTTCTCGCATCGGTAGACCCGCATTGCATGCGCCTGCAAACTCATGTGCTTGAGGACCGGGTCGTCGCCGCGGCGCAGCCAGTCGTCCAGAGTGCTTGTGGCCCTCGCGGCGCGGAAACAGTCCCCCGTATTCGGGGGCCCCTCGCTCTCGCAGCCCATGTCCTGCATGAGCTTCGCCAGAAACGACGCCGCCTGGCCATGCCCGGGCGCGTCGCGCGCCGCCTTGGTCGCGACGTCATCCTCGTAGGCCGTCAGGATGTCCGGGAAGCGCTGGCCTTTCGGACTCACGCGCACCGCCTGCCCGTCGCCCTCCTTTTCCTCGCGCCACCCCTCGAGCGTGCGCGGGTCGACGCCGCGTCCGAGGTACTGCGCCGGGGCGCGGCCCCCGCCCTGCTTGGCCCCGTGTCGGAGAGAGCGCCCGCACTCGCGCCATCGCGCCTCCACCGCCAGGAAGACGCCTTCCTAGATGAAGACCGCCCAGCAGCGGTTGGACGCGTAGGCGAGGTTGCCATAGAAGATCGGGAACAGCATCTCTGGCCGGCGCTTCCAGTAGCATCGCGGGATCCAGCGTCTCTCCGAATTTGGACTTGCCCCCGAGCGCTCTTTGGTCGGCGGCGGACAGACTCTTCTCGGGGTCCTCTCCGCGCCGCTGCAGCCCCAGCTTCATCTTGCACTGCTGCGCCTGTCGCTGCGCCTGCGGCCGCTATAAGCCGCGCCGCATCTCCGCGAGGACGCCCTCCATGCTGGGGCACTACGTCGTCGTGTAGGAGTTGATGTAGAAGCCCGCGTTCAGGCCGTCGCTGAACGCGGCCCGGGCGTCCAGTTCCAGCTGGTCCGCGGAGGCAATCGCGGCGCCCGCGCCCTCCGCGCCCTCGCCCTCCGCGCCCCCCGTCGGGCACTGCAGTAGAATGTCCCGCCGCCCCTCCAGCGAACAGTCGTCCGTCCACGAGAGCGGCCCCCCAGGGGCCTCCGGGCGGTTCACGTAAGAGTCGGCCTCGCCCAGCTCGCATGCGCCCATGTACCCCAGCTTGGGTTGCGAGCCGACGTGCGGGGGCACCTCGCCCTCGTCCAACCACTCTTCGGGGTCGTTGGCTCGTCGGAGGTCCTGCGCGCCCAGGTTGGAGCGCCCCGCCGCGGCGCCTGCGCAGATGGCAATGCGCTCGGACGGGTGGAGTTGGAAGTGCAACGGACGAGCCTGCATGCCGCGCGTCGAGGACCGCGCCGCGAACATGGCGTTCTGCAGAGGCCCCCCTCGCCTGCGCCTGCGCCAACCCGCGAGCGCGACGATGTAGTGGAAGCCGCGGCGGCAGATCTTCGTGGTCTGTGGCAGCTCTCCCCGCGCACGTGCGCCATCGTCTCTTCGGCGAGCTCCCGGACGTCCTTCGAGAAGAGGCGCTCCCAGACCTCAGGGCTCTCTTCCGTTCCTGGCGGCGGCGGCGGCGCCTCCTCGCCCGCGGCGAGCGTCGCCTGGCCGACTCCTGGCTGCCGCGACTGAGCCACGGGCGCGCCCGAGCAGACCGCTGGGACAACCCCGCGGGCCGCTGGCTCGTCCGCGCAGGTGTCTTGCTGCACGAGGCCGCGCCGCCGGTACGCGGGGCGTGTCCCTACGAGAGAAGCATCGATGGGCATGCCGTATGCGGGCGGCCGCGGCGGCGCCTTTTCCCCCGGCGCCAACTCGCGGCCTGTGGCGTCCCGCAACGGCAGATCGGGCCGGAGCCAGGGGTCCAGGTCCTCGGTCTCCAGGAAGGTCTCCTGGTCCTCAGTCAGCTCCGCGCCCGCCTGCTTCTCTTCGCGGAGCGCGTCCAGCTCGCTGCCCCCGTCGAAGCGCGACTGGTCTCGTTCGATGACAGAGAACGGCAGAGGGTCCAGGTGCTGGCCCACGTGCCCGAAACGCCGCGGCAACACCTCCACGGAGCTCTGGCAAGTACTCGTCTCCACGGCCATGACGCACGCTTTCATCCACTTGCCCAGGCGCTCTCGGAAAGCAGCAGGATGGCGTCGGAACACGTGCGCGAGCTGGCGCGTCGAGAGAGCGCACAACCACACCAGGATGCGTGGATGGAGCGATCCCCGACCTTGCGCCTCGATCTCTCCACGGAAAGCTTGCACGGGCCTAAAGATCCCTGGAGCGGTCGAGGACGCCGCCACGCCGTCGGTGCACCAATCCCAGGAGCAGCGTTTCCTGGGAGGAACGCCGCGCCAGCGGCCGCCCACGCACTCGGGGCGGACGCCGAGGACGTGGACGAAGAAGAGGCGCATGATGAGTTCGAAGCGCACGGGCTGGCCGACCGGGTCCTGGGCGACGCGCCGCATCATGTCTCGGTACTTTGGGATGACGTCGCTGCGCAGGCCTGGAATGCTCTGGTCGTCGAGCGGGATCTCCTGGCCCTCCACCCTGACGAACAGCGGCTGCTTCGTGTCCGCTATGTTCGGGGTGGCGAAGATCAAGGGGCACCCGAACAGCGCCATGTAGGCAACCCCCTCGTGGCGGCAGCGGCGCCGATGTCCGTCGGTGCCGACAACGTCCGCGACGGCCATCTGCATGATGTTCAGGGCGTCCCGAACCACGTTGGGTACGTTGGCGTTGCTTGCCAGAGCCGCCACGCCGCCACCGCCCGCGTGAACGCGGGCGGCCGCAGCCAGGGCATCCGTGGTGAGGTGCTGCACTTTCTCGGCCCACTTCATGCTTCCCTTCTTCAGGAAGTCGAAGGCGGACTGGTGGCGCTTCGTCAAGAACTGCAGCGTGGCGAACATGTGCAACGACACCCAGTCCGCCGCGAACCGGTTGACCTCGGGGTCGTCGTCGTTTTTTCGCACGCGATACGGCTTCTCTTCGTCGGTGTCTAGAGTGTACTCCATCTCCTCGCGCATGCCCAGGCACGTGATCCATTCATGCGCGAACAACTGCGGGTAGGTCCCCGTTCGTTTCGGGTCCAGGTGGCCGGCGTCGCCGTAGCGCCACAGGCTCGGGCGCGCCTGAGACTACCTCGCGATTTACTCACAGACGAATCTCCCGACTCAGAATTCCCCCGAATTCAAGCCAGAGGAACCCAAAAGCGACGATAGTTACAGGGTGCCGATGACCCGCCTCGGTTTCGAACATGAAGTGCGGGACCCATAGGGAGAAGCTCCCGTCTGAAACTTCCTCGCCAGTCAGTCACAGACGAGGTTCCCGCTTGTTAATTCCTTCAAATTTAAACCTGAAGACCCCCCAAAGTGACGACAGTTACAGGTTGCCGATGACCCGCTCGGATTACCAACATGAAATGCGGGCCCCATAGGGAAGAGGTCCCGCCTGAGACTTCCTCGCCATCCACGCACAGACGAGGCTCCCGCCTGAGATTTCCTCTACACTTGAACCAGAGGAGCCCAAAAGTGACGACAGTTACAAGTTCTGGATGACCCGCTCGGATTACCAAATTGAAAAAAGGCCCCATAGGGAGGGGGTTCCCGCCTGAGACTTCGTCGCAATTCACTCAGACGGGGTTCCTGCCTGAGACCGCCTCCATATTTAAACCTGAGGAACCCACATGTGACGACAGTTACACGTTTCCGATGACCCGGTCGGATTACCAACATGAAGTGCGGGCCCCATAGGGAGGGGGCTCCCGCCTGAAACTTCCTTGCAATTCAGTCACAGACGAGGCTCCCGCCTGAGACTTCCTACATACGCAAGCCTGAGGAGCCCAAGAATGAAGACAGTTACAGGTTTCCGATGACCCGCTCGGAATACCATAATGAAGTGCGGGCCCCATAGGGATGGGGGCTCCCGCCTGACTCCCTTGCAATTCACTCACAGACGAGGCTCCCGCCTGAGATTTCCTCCATACTCAAGCCTGAGGAGCCCAATAAGTGACGACCGTTACACGATTCCGATGACCCGCTCGGATTACCATCATGAAGTGCAGGCCCCATAGAGAAGGGGCTCCCGCCTTAGACTTCCCCGCAAGTCACTCACAGACGAGGCTCCCGCCTGCGACTTCCTCCATACTCAAGCCTGAGGAGCCCAAGAGCGACGACAGTTACAAGTTTCCGATGACCCGCTCGGATTACCAACATGAAGTGCGGGCCCCATAGAGACGGGGCTCCTGCCTGAGACTTCCTCGCAATTCACTCACAGACGAGGCTCCCGCCTGCGACTTCCTCCATACTCGAGCCAGAGGAGGTCAACAGTCACGACAGTTACAAGTTCTGGATGACCCGCTCGGATTAGTAACATGATCTGCGGGGCCCATAGGGAGAGGGGGTCCCGCCTGAGACTTCCTCACTATTCACTCACAGACGAGGCTCCCGCTTGAGGCATCTTCCATCGTCAAGATGGGGAGTGAGTGGTGACGAAGTGATGAGTGAATGATGATGATGAGGAGCGAATGAGTGGTGATTATGAATGAGGGTTCAGCGTGTGAGTGTGATGATGATGATGGTGATCATAAACGCGCATGGGTGTGTGGTTGATGAAGATGACGATGATGATGAATGAGGGAGTGAGTGGGAGTGAGTGATGCGGAGGAAGAGAAGGGGTGTGGGTGAGGACTGCGCGGGGTGTCCGGAGAAAACAAGAACCCCACTTAGGATGTGGGAAAAAAATTGCCGACAACTCTGGATTGCATGATCGGTTCCTCCGCCACTGGCAAGAGAAAACAAGCGATCATAACGAGGAACACTTGTCAGCTGGCATTCGTTCGCGCGGTGATGGCTCCCGCCTGGCGATTGACATAGAAGGCAGGCGCTGTCGCGAGTTGGAACTGGCAAGTTTCTGCCCTGGAGAGTCTCAGAGGCACCAGCCCCTACCTGGCCCTTCTCCTCGTCCTCCTAACTCCTCCGTTCCCCCATTATCATCCCTGCTCCCCCCCCCCTCTCTGAGGTTACAAGCGCCAGCCCCAAACAACGAAACTGTCGGCATCCAGCCACTGCCATTGAAATTGAGAGCCTCCCCCCCCCCCCCCCCCCCCCCCCCGGCGCGCGAGAGGCGGAAGAGCAGGAACGAGAAGAAAGAGCGTTCTCGGCGCGCGAGAGAGCGCCAAGAACGCGCGAGGAGGTTGAGCCCCGTGCGGTCGGAGCAGAGCGCGACGCGCGCCAGGCCTGCCAGACGGGCTGGCGCCAGGAGGCAAAGAATGCTCCACTCTCCTCCAGCTCCTTTCCTCCTCTTGCCGATGCTTGCTCGGTACAGGCTGCGCGCAGGCCCGTGCCATGCGTCGCGCGCACTTGTGCAGACTGGCCAGGCGGTCCTTCGACTTCGGAGCTCCTGAGCGGGTGTCTTATCTCACGTACCTTCTCCTTCCCACCGCCCCCCGTCCAGCTGCTCTCAAGCTCCTTCGAGACAGGGCGCGGAATCGTTGCGCCGTGATCTCCGCCGCGGAGTCGCGGGGCCGCCGGCTCAGGAGGCGGCCAGCGCGCGGGGGGCGGCCCGTGGCTGCGGCTGCGCTCACCGCGGGGTGGACGAGCACGAGCAAGAGCTCGCCATCGAGAAGCTGCCTGGCGAGGTCCCGGGCTCTGTCGGCATCAAGCATGGCGAGCCCTCGCCGTCCTTGTTGTGCGCCTGGCGGAAGTCGCGCATGAAGCGCAGGAGCTCGTCAACCGCAGCGTCTGGCACCGCGTTGTAGAGGCAGACGCGGATGCCGCCGAAGGCAGGGTGGCCGGCCAACTGCAGCATGCCGCGGGCCCGCGACTCCTCCGCGAACCGCGCCTCCAGCTCCGTCGGCTCCACTGTCGCGGTGATGCTCCCGTTCCACTCCCTCGAGACGCCCGCATCCGCGCCGAAGGTGAAGCAGACGGTGGTCCGGGAACGGTACGGACGCGCCACCGAGTTCACGTAGAAGCCGCTGGAGCCGTCCACCTCCTCATAGACGCGCCGCGCGCGGTCCTCCGCCCGCGACTCCAGGGCGGCCAGGGCAGAGCCACCGCCGACGCACCACTCCTCCTGGAGGCGCCGCATCACCTCAAGGCACAAGTAGATGGAGAAGACCGGCGGCGTGTTCACGAGGGAGGGCACTGGCGTGGTGCTGGCGGAGGCGCCCCAGTTGAGGATGCACGGTGTGTCTGGGCGGGCCCGCCCGAGCAGGTCCCGCCGCACCACGATGAGGCACACGCCGGCGGGCCCGAGGTTCTTGCCCGAGGAGCAGTAGATCGCCGCGTACTTCGAGACATCGACCCGCCTGGACAGCAGGGTGGATGTGAAATCGGCCACAAGCAGCCTGTCGCCAAGGTCTGGATCCTCCAAGAACTCGAGGCCGCATATCGTGTCATTCGCGCAGATGTGCACGTAGGCCGAGTCGTCCGACAGGTTCCAGGAGGACACCGCGGGGATCTCGCTGTGGCCCGACGCCTCCGAGCTGGCGACGACGCGCGTCTCGCAGTACTTCGACGCCTCCACCATCGCCTTGTGCGACCAGACCCCGGTGTCCACGAAGTCTGCCGAGCGCCTGTCCCCGAGCAGGTTCAGCGGCACCGCCGCGAACTGACCGTGGGCGCCGCCGTGCTGCCAGACGATCGCGTGGGAGGCGGGGACCTCGAGGATGTCTCTGACCGTGGAGGTCGCCTGCTGAATAGTCCTCTGCACGGGGCCGCCCTCGTCCCTGTGGCTCATCTCCATGATGCTCATGCCCGTGTCCTCAAAGTTGGCCAGGTTTTCGCCGACGTGGAGCAGCAGCTCCTGGGGCAGCGCGCCAGGGCCGGCGCTGAAGTTGAAGGGCCTGGAGCGCTGCTGATTGGCGGCCATCGCTGCCATCGCTCTCGCCAAGTGCCCGCGGGAGGTGCGGCTGCCGAGATCCTTGCGGGTGCGGGACTCTGTAGGCAAAATGCTGACGACGCCCAATGCTTTGAACAAAACGCTTGAGCCGAAATGGGGGAATATGGAGGAGTACAGAGGAGTGAGGAGGAGAATCAGCAACAAACTAGCGAACGGTATGCGTGGTGGACGTTCGGGGAGCTCGCCTCTTTCACGCGCTTCCCGTTCATGGCAGGAAAGGTTTTCAATATAAACGTTTCGTCCGAGACATCCTCACCACATGGAGATGATTGTGGACATCGTTTAACATACCTCATGCTACAAATGACACTTTCGCCTGAGACACCTTCATACAGATGTTGAAATCGGTCGCGGAATCTTTGGACCTTCGAAAGTGGGACTCTCGCCTGAGGTATCTTCGTAACATTGAAATTCTGAAGCCCGACCCGTTTGAGACGAATTGAAACGGTGGACGACGACATTGACGACGACCAAGGACGACCGAGGACAGAATACGACGACGGACGACGACAACGACGACGACGCCAACGCCAACGACGACGAAGGCGACGACGACCGACGACGGACGACGGACGACGGACGATGAACGACGGACGACGACGACGACGACGACAACGACCGATGACCGACGACTGACGACGACGACAGACGACGACGACAACGACGAGGGACACGACGTTGACGAAAACGAAGACGACGACGACAACCGACGACCGACGACGGACGACAGACGACGACGAATGACGACGACGACGACGACCGACGACGACGAGGGACACGACGACGACGACGACAAGTCGATGATGATGATGATGTTGATGATGACGACGACGACGATGACGACGACGACGACGACGACGACGACGACGACGACGACGGACGACGGGCGACGCCGACAGACGTCGTCGACGGACGACGCTGGTGACGACGAAGCCGACCACCGAACCCTGCCCTGGAGCGCGCTTCTGGCCAGAATCTCGAAACGGTTCCAACCGCAGGCGCCCCCGCCGAGGCCCAGAACGGACCAACAATACCCTGAATTTTCGGTCCTCGAGCCTCGACCCTTCTACTACCCGCATCCTCGAGACTCGAACCTTTCTTCTTGGCTGACTCCAACCTGCAC